TCACCCAGCACTACGCTGTCGACTTCTTCGACACCTTCTCTCCCACCGTCAAGCCCGCTACCATCCGCGCAGTGCTTGACCACGCCGCTTGCCTCAACATGGAGATTCACTCCATGGAAGTCTCCAATGCATTCCTCCAAGGCGTCTTGCGCGAGCTCATTTACATGGAGCGTTCTGCAGGCTTCCACCTCCCCTTTCCTTCCGACTCTGTCTGGCAGTTGCGTCGGCCAGTCTATGCGCTCAAGCAGACACCAAGGGAGTGGCATGCCAAGCTTGCTGCCATCCTCGCCGAGCTGGGCTTTAGCACCTCCCGCGCCGACCCCAGCCTCTTCCTCCGCACCTCCCCCTCCCCCTTCTACATCCTCGTCTATGTCGACGATATGATCCTCATCACTGCCGACTCCGCCGTCAAGTGTGAGCTTGGCAGCCGGCTCAAGTGTAAGGATATTGGGGAGCTGCAGCACTATCTCGGCATGGCAATTACACGCGACCGTGTTGCTCGCACCATCTCCCTCTCCCTGGGTCAGTGCCTGCAGCAGGTCCTGGAGCGGTTCGACATGGCTCGAGGAATCCCTCAGGTCACCCCTCTTCCTGTTGGGCACCACCTCACTCCCCTCACCTCCCCCTCCTCCTCCTCCCACCCCTACGCTGAGCTCATCGGCTCTCTCATGTATGCCATGGTCTCCACCCGCCCTGACCTAGCATACCCCAGCAGCGTATTGGCCTGCTTCGTTGGTACCGGCAAGCATGATGCCGCGCACTGGCAAGTGGCCGAGTGTGTCCTCCGCTACCTTCGGGGGACCAAGGACGTCCTTAACCTTCGCGGCCCCTCCCCTCCCCTCCTCACTGGCTACTCTGATTCCTCCTGGGCTGACTATAGGCCTGACCGCCACTCCTCTCAGGGCTATGGCTTCTCCCTTGGCAGCGGCCTCATCAGCTGGCGCTCCACCCGCTCCTCCTCCATTGCCCTCTCCTCTTGCAAAGCATAGCTATATGCCGCTACCATGGCTGCGCAGGAGGGTCGCTGGCTCACATTCCTTCATGAGGAGCTTGGTGCCCCTCAGCGATGTCCCACCATCTGGTGCGACAACGCCAGCACCATCCATCTCACGAAGGATGCTGTGTTCCACGGACGCTCCAAGCAAATTGAGCTTCGCCACTACTCCATTCGCGAGTTTGTGCAGAATGGCCACCTCCAACAAGGCAAGATTCACTCTGCCGCCAATCTTGCCAACATCTTCACCAAAGCCCTCCCCCACACCGCCCAATCATCCCTCCTTCGTCTTCTTGGCCTCGCTCCTCCCGTTCCCTCGTCCGCCTCCTGATTCAAGACAGCTAGTCTTATGCATGTTGGGGGGTTGTGTTGTAAAATATATACTGTATCTATACAACATGCATGCCTAGATTGGGAGGTGTATTCATTATAACTATTGGGGGGTTGTTGGTTGGGTTGACCAACCTCACATTTGGTCCTAGACATTTGGTTGGCACTATTCCAACCAAATGGTCCTTGGTCCTAAGAACCAACCAATCACCAAGCACCACACTTTGTGGTTGCTTGCCAGGGGACGTGCAAGCCTGTAAGAGAGCCCGAAGGAGCCGCCGGACAGGGAAGGGTGATGGAACTACAAGCGACTACTAGACCGGACGAGGGGTCAGCAAGAGAAACTGCGGCAGGAGCAGCAAGTGGCGTCAGCGTAGTGGAGTCGCGGAAGAAACACCGGGAAGCGCCTGAGTCCAGGGTGAAGGAGAGCACAGCAGCGGCGTTCGGAGTCGGAGCAGTGAGGGAGGAACCAAGCCTAAACAAGACAGGGGATCCTACGCCTGATGCAGCCGGGGAGGCAAGACTAGACACACCTACACTAGGCAACACGGGGTAGTAAGAATCAGTCACACTAGAGTCATCAGCATACAGCACATACAAGGCAGAGCTAAGCTCATCCATGTCCATATCAAAGATCGAAATACTATGGCGAAGCAAACTGTACCAGTCCGGGAGGTCGGGCGACGGACCGAAGCGAAGACGAAACAGGTCATCAAGGCGACGAAAACAGCGGACAGGAGTGTGACCGATCTTACCGCAAACGGAGCCGCGGCGAGGACCGGTCTGGAGCTGGTACTGACTGCGCCCGTCACCCGAACTGCCACTCGGGGGCACACCACGCGCACGACCACCACCACGTCTACCGCCGCCACCAGCGCCAGGCCACCCGGGCGGGAGACCATTCGCCCTCCTCTGCTGCGGCTGCTGCGACTGCTGCGGCGGCTGCGACTGCTGCGACTGCTGCAGCTAGTGCTGGGGCTGCTGCTGCGGATGGTGCTGATCCGGCTGCGACGCCTGCGACTGCTGGGACGGCTTCTCGGCTGCACTAGACACAGTCCCCTCGTCCACGCCACCACCAGGCGACCCGGCTCCACCACCATCTCCACCTGCACCGCCACCCCCTCCGCCGCGCCCAGCCTTGGGACGGCGGCCCTTCCCCGGACGGAACTGTGCTGCAGCTGCAGTCTCAGCCACAGAAGTAGAACTGTCAGAGAAGGTGCACTGAGTAGGGGCACAACCCTGAAAGATAGGGACCGGCACAGTACCGCTGGTCTGGGCGATAGAGCACTGGCGGGTCTCTATGACCGACAGGGTGTCAACAATGTCGGTGAGGGTGAGGTCACCAGGGTGGATGCTAAGAAAGCGGTCGCGGGCAGTGGCAAGGCGGTCAGGGAGGCGGGTGGCTAGCAGGTAGAGGGCGGAGCAGAGGGGCGGCTGATGGGCTCTAAGCTGGCTCTCAGTGCAGGCAGAGCGCCAGGTCGAGTCTATCGTGCGCAGGTGGGCGGCAAGGTCAGCGATAGTGGGGAAAGACGCAAGGTCAGGGAAGAGCATCGGTAGGATCAGGCGACCTACAGAAGCAGCGGGCGGGGTGGAATAGCGCTGGACAACAGCATCTAGGAACTCCTGCGCAGTCTTGACCGACTTAAAGCGAGGGCGCTCAGACAGGGGGAGGGCATGACTGATCGCAAGCTACGCAACTGCGTCACGCGACAACCAGACTGAGCGAGCAAGGGCAGCAGCTGCAGCGGACTCACGCTCAGCAGACGAGGGGTCAGCGGGCAGCGCAGGAGGGGGTCAGGGCAGGGAAGCGTACCGTCAAGGTGGACAGACAGCGAGTGGCCATCCTGCCGCTGACCACTGAGATGGCGGCGGAGGTCGACCAGCCACGCTTCAAACTCGAGCGGCTGGCCCTCAGCGTCGAAGCGAAGCACGTCCGCCATCAGGAACGGTGCAGCAGCGAGGGAGGGCGGCGCTGTGCTGTTTTGTGCGGTGCAGTGCGGTGCAGAGCGGAGCAGTGCGCTGCAGTGCAGAGCGGTGCAGTGCGGTGCTGTGCAGTGCAGAGCGGTGCAGTGCAGTGCAGAGCGGTGCCGGGCGGTGCAGTGTGGTGCACGTCGGGAAGGACGGGCCGGGCACGAGTTGGAGGTAGGCCGGCGACAAAACGAGGTCGGGGCCGGCGCACAACTGACGCGAGGGCGAGGAGCCGGCTAGGAGCGGGCGTGGGGCTGATGAGAGGCAGGCGCGAGGGGCCGGCTAGGACAGGTGCGACGGCGTTGGGGGCCGGCTAGAGACGGGCGCGCGCCGGGGCGCGAGGGGCCGATTAGGAACGGGCGCGACAAAGTGCGCGAGGGGCCGGCTAGGAGCGGGCGCGACAGGCGCGTGGGGCCGGCTAGGACGGGCGCAACGTCACATGGGGCCGGCTAGGAACGGGCGCGACGGCGCTAGGGGCCGGCTAGGACGGGCGCGACGGGCGTGGGGCCGGCTAGGACGGGCGCTAGGGCGCGAGAGGGCAGGCTAGGGCGGGCGCGACGGGGGGCGCGTGGGGGCCGGCTAGGAACGGGCGCGACGGGTGCGATGGGCGCGTAGGGCTGGCTAGGACGGGCGCGACGGGCGTGAGAGGGCCGGCTAGGACGGGCGTGACGGCGCTAGGGGCCGGTTAGGAACGGGCGCACGGGGCGCGGCGACGCTAGGGACGGGCACGAAGGGCGCAAGGGGCCGGCGAGAACGGGCGCGGGGGCGGCTAGGGCCTAGGGCGGAAGCGCGAGCGGGCTAGATGGACCTAACCTACTCATGATACCATATCAAACTGAGAGAATGAACTAGAATGGGAGAGTACAAGGGAATATACCCTAGGAGCTGTACCCTCTAAGGCACAAACCTATACAGTCTATACAAACATAACAATATATGTTTGACACATTTGGCCAGTGTCACTTTCTGCCCCTCGAATGGTCAGTTTGACGCGTGGCATAACGGCATCGTCGTGATGTAATTCTTTTCACGGGAGTAGCATGGGCTTCTCGCTCAGAACTGGCAGGAGAGGTTCAAACGGACCTCCGGACGACCGCTCGAAACCCTGATGGATACCGGTGCTATGTTCATGAGTCCTGACGAACTAGCCTCGTGGCATGGCATTCTGTGAAGAGAAATCCACGAATCACCCTAGCTACTTGGACAATTTCAGGACTTAGCCAAGTACAGTAGCACTGTCAAGCTCGCCACAAACATAGGAGGAGACAGACACGACCTTCAGCAGTGTTACTAGTTTGAGAGCTCAGAAGGATTCTGGGTTAACGTTCCTTGGATCCAGAATATTCAGAGTACTTCTGGACCCATTCCGAAACTCCCTAGGGCCTAGCGTAAGCCTGTCCAAGTGCTCAGGCCTTTCTCTTGCTTTCCACCAAACCAGAACGAGAGATATTTCCACCAGCGTCGCGTGGCACTTTTCTCTTCTCCGGACCATACTCTAGCGCGTACACCCTTGCCCCACAGGGTTCTCGTGATTGGGAATCCCTGGGGGGAGTTCTCAATGTCAGTCTTACCCTGTCTACCTCGAGGTTAGACTCAGCTTTTCCCGCGCCTCTCCAGGTCCTAGTTGCCGCTCCGCCATTCGCCTCAAAGTTTCCGCCATGGATTTCCCATCGACTCGAAGCACACAGAGCCTGCCATCATGCGCGTCGTGCCGCGATGGCCCGAATCACAACGGGACTGCCTCCTCGCTTCGTTTGCCTCGCCTTGATCCCGTTCCTCCCTCTCCTAACTGTTCCACCACCGAGCCTTTCCTCGGCATCAAAGCTTCCTCCTCGCACTGCTTTATCGCATTACATATTCTCCCTTCTTCTCCGGCCGGACATATCAGTTGCTTCTGCAGTCCACTTCGTTGATTTCCTCTTTGGATCCGTCGTGGTTCGAATCAAGTTAAACCAAGGCGCCATGGCTTCCGTCGCCGAGGATAATGCTGTCGTCACTGATCACTGCCCCATTGCTTCTCTTCCCGACGATCTGCTAGTCGACGTCTTTCACTGCCTTGTGCCAATTTCCCACCTTTCATCCGCCTCTTCTAACCAGCAGAACCCGCCTACAGCATCGTCATCAGCGACGTCGTCCAACACCTCCTCCCCCTCGCAAGCCTCTTTCCCGTTCGTGTCTCGTCGCTGGCTTCGACTCGCATATGTTGCGACCACGTCTTTCCGCCTGACACGTCGTCCGGGAATCTCAGCCTCACAGCTCCTCTGCGCCGTTAGCCGCATGCCAAGGCTTGAGTCTCTCTGGATCGATGACGATCGTGTCTGGACGTCCCTAGCGCTCGAGGCGGTGTTCCAAGGTTGCACACGTCTGAAGGAGCTCGTGCTCGACTGCCCGCCCGCCATCACAGAGTTTCCTTCCAGTGTCACAAACCTGGCTGGACTCCTACGTCTCATCATGTCTTCAGAAGGCAGCAATTTTAGCCTTCCTAAAGACATCGGCAAGCTTCATGCTCTGAGAGTTCTCTACTTGGCAGTTCGTCGTCTCACAGTGCTGCCCGAAAGTCTTGGCAACCTTGGCAATCTGCAGGAGCTGAAGCTCAACGGCTGCTGGGGTCTGTCAGCAATACCCGAGACAATCGGGCGGCTCCTGAAACTACGTGTCTTTCATGCCTGGGGTTGCGGCACGCTTCTCTTCCTCCCTGATGCTCTTTTCAGTTGCACTAGCTTGGAATTACTGGAACTCTTCACGCCAAACCTGGCCAGGCTGCCGGAGAGTATCGGGCAGTCCCACAGCCTTCGGCGCCTCATCGTACGCAACCGCTTCAGGGGTATACAGCTGCCTGCGTCCTTCACGAGGTTGTCCTCCCTTGAGGAATTGAAGTTGGGTTCATGCCTTCAGGAGCTGCCAGAAGGCTTCGGGAATCTGACCAATCTCAAAGGCCTGGAGCTGAGTCGTTGCCCTAGGCTCACTCTGCCCTCCTCTCTGCCGCAGCTGTCTCTCCTTGAACGACTTGAGATCAAAGGGCAGCAGATGGTTTCTCTCCCAGAGACCATAGGGCAGCTGCCAGCACTCAGAGAGCTCCGTATCTCCAGCTTCAGCAATCTCCAAACCCTTCCTAATTCCATCGGTCAGCTGCAGCAGCTTCGATCCCTAACACTCCGCAAGTGCAGCTCACTCCGAGTGCTGCCAGAGTCCCTGCTGCAGCTCAGTGCTTTGGAGAGACTCGAGTTTTTTTCTCTGCACACTCTCCTCCCTCCCTGAGGACATCCACCTCTTGACAAGCCTTCGATGGCTGAATCTCAGCAAGTGCCCAGAAATCAGTGAGCTGCCTGCCAGCATCTCCTGCTGCCCTTCCCTTGCGTGCGTTAGCATCCAAGATTGCCCCGCTCTCACAAACATCCCTGGAGGGGATTGGCAACGGTTTATAGTGCAGCATGACGGCCAAGTGCTCATGCGCCAAGTGAATCGGTAGGATGGATGATCGGACAGAGTTGAGCAGGCACGGGGGAGGTGGTGGTGAAGGGGGTAGGGTTTCTCAAAATTTGGTGCTCCAGTGGATGGTGATGCATGGCCTATAGATAGCAGAAATGGTTGTGTGGTGCTTACGAGTGTTCAGGAAACAAGCGAAAGATGACCAATTCCTTTTTCTATATGTTTTTCCTTGCAAGACGCACTTACCGTAATCCCCCGGATATAACACCCGCCGGAATAGTCACTCCATGGGTGGTTAATACGGGGGGGAGCTTATGATATGGTGCATTTTTTAGAGTACCCGCTTTTCAGGCGACGAATTTTACATAACGCCCCCCCTATTTTTATTACTTGGAGTACACTAAAACAATTGTATATTCTACCATATGCATCCTATTACTACAGCAGCGTTACAACACGCTTGAATTCCTACTCATTGTTGCCTACAAGAATAGCATCCAGTGAGTAGCGCAAGGCCTAGATCATGTCCTAGGGCTTTCAGTTAGAAATTAGAGACATAATTCACTACCTAATACTCCTCGTCATCCTCATCTCCAGCGTGCCAAGCCTCTACATCATCATCGTCGGATGCAATATCGTCCCAATCGTACTCTTCAGTCCATCGGGAGGCGGCCAGTCCAGCAAGTACCTCCGCCGCTGGCGCCATCTCTGCGGAGTCCACATCGCTGCTCTCTGTAGTGTCAGCCGCTTCAGGTGCAGTTGCAGCTACTGCTGGTGTTGTCGATGTTGATGCTGCAGCTGCTGCAGCGTTAAGTCGAGCCTCCGCCATCGCAGACGATTCCGCCACATCGACGCCAGGTGTCGGTGCATGCTGCGGCAGGTCGACGTTGACCGTGATGTCACACTCCTCGTCCTCGGAGAGCTCGTCGGCGGTCGGCTCTACGAACTCGGCTTCGAAAAGGGGATTCGTCTTCTCCCCGGTCGTCTCAACCTCCGCGTGCACATCGTCCATGACCTCCAGCTCCGCGTTGTTGCGCATGTGGGCGAGTATGAGGTCGTCTTCAAGGCCATCGAGGTCGTTGGAGATGCCGCAGGTCTTGAAAGCCTTGCGGATGAGGTCGGTAGGGACTGCCTCCCAGGCGGCCGCGATCCACTGCAGCACCACCTCCGCCGGAGGCTTTTTCAGATTTCCTGAAGGGCGGACAGGGTTGGGTGGAGATTACATCGCGCATTAGGCAAACCGAAGCGAGAACTTGAGCAACACGTCAAGGCGTCGTAAAGCAAACGGTAAACAAGAACGTATGAAGAGCAGAGCTCAAGGATATGAAGGGTATCACCTGCGGGAGTTGTCGCGTCGCAGCCGAACTCCTCAAACCAACCTGAGTAGGACCGGCGGACATGAGCCTTCAAGCAGCGGTTCACAGCTATGTCGAGAGGTTGGACGATTGGCGTGCAGCCGCCAGGTATGACGGCACGTGAGAGTTTGAATAGACGCATCAACGTCGCCACCCCCTTAGTCAGATGGCCTTTGTAGGAGTCGAGGACAACGAGAGCCTTCTGCCGCCCGCCACGGCGTGCAGGAAGTCGCTTCAGAAAGGGGACAAGGACCGTCGTAATCCAGTCCTTCACGTGGTCCTCATCCATCCATCCCTTCTCCTGTGCGCGGATGACGATTCCTGCATGCAATCATGAACGAACCAAAAAGCTTACTGTTAGTTTCTAACTCCGGTACATGAAACACTTAGTGACATCAATACCCAATCGATACTAACCTGGCGGGACTCGAATCTTGGGGAGCGTCTTGCGCTTGAAGATGACATACGGCTTCAGCTTCTGGCCGCCAGCAGTGACCGCCAGCATCACGGTCAACCGCTCCTTTTCGTAGCCAGCAGTCCGAACATGTACCGTCCTTGAACCGCGGACTTCTAATGTAGTCTCTTGGGGCATTTCGAGGAACAAGGGCGTCTGATCGGCGTTGATAATCAAGTCGTCGTCATATTTGTTGACTGTGCGCATCTGGCGTACGAACTCCCAGAATTTCTCGACTTTAGCCTCGCAATCTGCATAACGAGAAGACAATAAACGATGTGAGTGTACATGCTTAAGTTCTTAAAGCTCAATGAATGGGAAACCGCAAGCGAAATTGCTAAACACCTTGCATATCAAGCACACAACGCACCGCTGGTTAGGCGCTGGCCCATCTTTGTCTTGACGCGCCGTGTCAATCCCCAACGCGTGCGGAACCGGAAGGTCCAACGGGATGACGCACGCCAGTCGACACCGGGATGGCGCTTCCGCATGAACTTCCTACTCCACTTCTGCAGACAACTCACCGACACCGCCAAGCCGCGCGCACGGTGTGAGAGGAAGCGGTTGTACATCTCCTTCTCCATGTCGGGGAACTTCGCCTTGCGTCCAGCACCGATGAGACGACGCCTGCATCCCGCCGCCGCCGACAGCCGTGCCTTGTTCTTCTTCCACTCGCGTATCTGACAGGGTTGTACCTCGGCCATCTTCGCCAGCTTGCGATTCGAAAGCTTCGGGTCGGAGTCGAGATGGGCCAACCAGTATAGCTTTTCCGCCGCTGTGCGCGAGACTCTCTTGCGGCTGGTCCTGCGATGTCTGGGGGAGGGAGGTGCAGCATCCCGGTTAACTCGCGGCATGTGGGGACGACGAATGGGCTGAGGGAAAGATGGAACAATGACACGAGGAAGTGTTGGGGGTGGCTCTGGCTCTCCATCGGCAGCATCTTCCCAGTCTAGCTCATCATCGTCCTGCCAGTAGTTGTCCCACTCCTCGGGACGACTTGCACTCGGACATGATGTATAGGGAGGTGCGGGAGGAGCAGGTGGGGCAGGAGGTGCAGGAGGCGCGGGAGGCGCAGGCGGTGCTGGCGGCGCAGGTGGTGCTGGAGGAATCGACGGAAACGGACGGAGAAGAAATTGACTACCGTGGGGTGGACGATGGGTTCGCAAAACTGAGATGCCGCTAACAGCACGGGCCGCCATGGCTGAGTCTCTGCCTACAAAATCGCCTCGGCGGACTTATGCCCGAGGCTCTGTTAGAGAGGTTCGACATCGCGAGGGATTTTCTGTTGGGAAGACAGTACTGGAACGCTAAAATGACGCAGCGACAACAAACGGATGAACAAGAAACGTGGGCCGACCCCCTACCCGAGCCGCGCACGGTTCTTGAAAGCCAAAAAAGACCATCGCATGCTAGCATGCGATGGTCTGGTCGAGAAGCTTCCCAAGGGCATCTTGAGATGCCAGATTCCATCGCAGGTGTTGCGCTGGCAGCATCTACTGCACCTAGCCGTGCACTCGCAGCGCTGGCAGCCGATGGCAGCAATCCGCTGGGTGTTGGCAGCTGTGACCGTTACGGATTGGCCACAAATCCTATAGCCCATGCCGAGTTCGACACGTTGGCATGGCCATCCTCTCATCCAAAAAGCACAAAACTCCCTAACAGAAACCCAATGCATGTATAAGCCTAGAAACAATCAGATTCAAAATGAATTATACATAACACATGGGCGTTATATTTTTCCAGCCCACTGTTAACACCCAGTCATTTTTTTAATGAATTATTATATCCACCATAGGGTGTTATATCCGGGGGATTACGGTAAGCTTGCTGCACTCTGCAGCATACAGATTGTGTCACGACTCCTAAGAACATGCACTTCAAATTAATGGGAGGGACATGCTAATGCTAAAGAGGTGCACAGCAAGGCAGTGCGGTAACTATCTACTTTCAACGAAGTTAGTGATCTCAACACCGCAGCATCTTGTATGGGGTATGTGAAGCAGCAGCATGGCAGCAGCATATGAGAAATGGCATGATAAGTGTTCCCACGGGTTCGCCACTAAGAGCACGCACAATGTTGCCAGGCACCGTCAGGTTGAACACCACCACTGCAGAGACACAGGCGTGGGAAGGGAGGGGGCAGGAGGAGTGAAGGTTGGCAATGGCAACGAGCTAATTGGATAGCAGTGCTTATGAAGTTTGAGCCAAGACACATGCAGCGCGAGGCGACAGAGAAGCGAGAGAAGAGAGAGAAGAGAGAGAGAGAGAGAGAGAGAGAGAGAGAGAGAGAGAGAGAGAGAGAGAGAGAGAGAGAGAGAGAGAGAGAGAGAGAGAGAGAGAGAGAGAGAGAGAGAGAGAGAGAAAGAGAGAGAGAGAGAGAGAGAGAGAGAGAAAGAGAGGGAGAGAGAGAGAGAGAGAGAGAGAGAGAGAGAGAGAGAGAGAGAGAGAGAGAGAGAGAGAGAGAGAACACGAGAGAGAGAAAGAGGAGAGGGAGAGGGAGAGGGAGAGGGGAGGGAGGGGGAGGGGAGGGGGGAGGGAGGGGGGGAGGGAGGAGGAGGGAGGAGGGAGGGAGGGAGGGAGGGAGGGAGGGAGGGAGGGAGGGAGGGAGGGAGGGAGGGAGGAGGGAGGGAGGGAGGGATGGAGAGATGGAGGGAAGGAGAGAAGGATGGAGGGAGGGAGGGAGGGACGGAGGACGGAGGGAAGGAGGGAGGGAGGGAGGGAGGGAGGGAGGGAGGGAGGGAGGGAGGGAGGGAGGGACGGAGGGAGGGACAGAGGGACGGAGGGAGGGAGGGATGGAGGGAAGGAGGAGGGAGGGAGGGAGGGAGGGAGGGAGGGAGGGAGGGAGGGAGGGATGGAGGGAAGGAGGGAGGGAGGGAGGGAGGGAGGGAGGGAGGGAGGGAGGGAGGGAGGGAGGGAGGGAGGGAGGGAGGGAGGGAGGGAGGGAGGGAGAGAGGAGGGAGAGAGAGAGATGGAGAGAGAGGGAGGGAGGGAGGGAGGAGAGAGAAAAGAGAAGAGAGAGAGAGAGAGAGAGAGAGAGAGAGAGAGAGAGAGAGAGAGAGAGAGAGAGAGAGAGAGAGAGAGCATGTGCCTTTCCTCAACTATATAAGGCCCTCTCTCTCTCTCCATTCTCCTTGTTTAGTTTCCATTCATTCTCTTTTCTTCTCTTTGGTTTCAGCTCGCGCCGGCGGCCTTCGGCCGCCGTCGCTCGCGGCGCGACCTCCGGCCGCGCGGTTAGGGGATGGCAAGCAACTCCAAAACAATATACCACTCAACGACTGTGTACAACAACAGCCTACGGGACCCTGGCCTTGCTGCTGCAACGCACATGGAGATGTTAGAAACATAAAGGTTCAGTTTATTGATGAAGCAAATGCATTACATAGGAAGAGAGAGATGAGCTAGGAAGGGAGGGTTGGACGGGAAAGGGGGGGTTAGGACCAATCACAACGGAGGGAGGATCCTTCCAAATGTGGTTGACCAGAAGTGGGAGGTGGTCCAAGTGTGGTGGACCACACATGGCTTAAGCAACCCACTTGTGGTGCCCCCACAATTGTGGTCCTTGTGTTTGGGGGCTCCAACCACAATTGGGTTGGATTGACACCCCAACACAGGTGTACACCCAACTAGGGATGTAAACACAATATACACAAATAGTAGCATGGTATATTCGAACACAACCCCATAGCATGCAAAGCTAGTGTATATGAAGGGTACAACCCCAGAATCAGGAAAGGGGGCGGGGCCCATGGCCGAGAAGGCAGAGGAGGGCAGAGTGCGCGGTCTTCGGGAGGGCCTTCGTAAAGATGTCGGCCAAGTTGGCCTCTGCAGCGATCTTGTGCACCACTAAGTGACCTTGCTGGACCAACTCCCGAACGAAGAAGTAGCGGAGTTCAATGAGCTTGGAGCGACAATGGAAGAAATGGTCCTTCGTGAGATGGATGGTGCTGGCGTTGTCACACAAGAGGGTGGGACAGCTTTGAGGATCACTGATCTCAGCAAGGAGGATGAGCCAGCGAGCCTCCTGAGCGGCCATGGTGCAAGCATAGAGCTCAGCCTCGCAGGATCAGAGGGCGATGGAGGAGGAGCGAGTGGAGTGCCAGTTGATGAGGCCGCTGCCATGGGTGAAGCCGTAGCCTTGAGAGGAACGGCGATCCGGCTGGGAGTCAGCCCAGAAGGAGTCACTGAAGCCAGAGGAGGGGAGGAGAAGAGCCTCCCAGGGTGAGGACATAGTCCTTGGTACCACGGAGGTAGGGGGGTACCCGCTTCGCTGCAGCCCAGTGCTCGTCAGTGTGGCGACCGGTACCGACGAAGCGAGCAAGAACGCTGATGGGGAAGGCAAGGTCCGGGCGGGTGCACATCATAGCGTACATCAGCGAACCGACGAGCTCAGCGTAAGGATGGTCAGAGGAGGAGGGAGTAGGAGGAGGGGCAAGCTGGTGGTCGGTTTGCAGGGGAGTGGTAACTGGTTTGGCCTGTGCCATGTCGAACCGTTGCAAGACCTGATCAATGTAAAAGGATTGTGAGAGGGTAATGGTGCGCGCTGCACGGTCCCGGCTGATGGTCATGCCCAAATAGTGCTTGAGCTCACCCAGGTCCTTGCACTTGAGGCGTGCATGCAGGGCGTCCTTCATTTGCTGCATGGTGGCAGCATCGTCAGCGAACAAGATCATGCCGTCGACATACACCAAGATGAAGAAGCGGGTGGGAGATGAGCGAAGGAAAAGGCTGGCATCGGACTGAGAGGCACGAAACCCCAGGGATTGCAGAGTGGCGGCCAGCTTGTTGTGCCACTCGCGAGGAGCCTGCTTGAGGCCATAAACTGGGCGGCGCAGCTCCCAGACTGTGTTGGGAGGGAAGGCTGCATGAAAGCCTTGAGGCCGCCGCAAGAGGACCCGCTCCTGGAGCTCGCCTTGCAGGAAGGCGTTGGAGACATCAATGGAGGCAATCTCTATGTCAATGCAAACAACATAGTCGAGGATGGCACGGAGAGTTGGGAGCTTGGCAGTGGGAGAGAATGTCTCCCAATAGTCGATGCCATGGGTCTGGGTGAAGCCCTTGGCACAATACCGGGCCTTGTGGACCGGCTCCTCACCCGGCAGCTGCTTCACTCGGAACACCCACGGGCCTTCAACAATGACGTCGTCAGGAGAGGGGACAATGTCAACGAATGAGGCATTGCGAATGAAGGCCTTGCATTCACCAAAGATAGCCTGGATCCACTTGGCAGCATCGGGGCAGGTGATGGCCTCAAGGAAGTTGGACGGGGTGAATATGGTCGGAGCGGGTAGCGATGCCAAGGATGAGGAGGCCAAGGAAGCCCGGGTAGAGAGGCGTGAGGAAGGTGTTTGTTGCCGAACGCCAATGAGCTCCTCATGGGAGTCCTCAATGAAGAGAAGGGAGGGTGGGGTGGCGTTGGCCAACCCCATGGATGGCCTATGAGTGGGCCATGAGAGCGAGTGTGGACGCGTGGGAGGATGAACGGAGAGGTGGTGCAGCGATGCTGATAAGGTTGTTGCTGTGGCTGCTGCTGCTGCTGCACCTCCTGTTGCGGCTGTTGTTGCTGCACTGCCTGCGGGTGCTGCTGCTGCCGCTCCACCCGCTGCAACTGCTGCACCTCCTGATGCTGCTGCTGCTCCATCCACTGGTGCTGCTGCTCCCGCTGTTGCTGCTGCTGCTGGTGCTGGTGCGATGAGGCAGAGTGAGCAGGGGAGTCAGGGACAGTTGGGTCATAAATGTCACCTGAGGAAGGAGGAGGGGGAGGAGCAGGATCCGGAGGAAGGAGGGGAGCCTGGGGAAGGAGTGGGGAAATGACAGCATCAGTCCATGTGAGGGGGCAGGAGAGAGTAGGAAGTGGGTCGGAAGGCGGAACAGAATGATAGAACGGGATGCTCTCATCGAACACCACGTCACGGCTCTGTAGGAGGCGCCTTGAGGACGGGTGAAGGAAGAGGTAACCAGGGGCAGAGCGAGCGTGGCCAAGGTAGACACACTCAATGGCCTTGGAGGCGAGCTTTCCTGCTTGCGTAGAGCGGTCGGGTGGGGGGATGAGAACATATGCCTTGCAACCCCAGATACGAAGAATGGCAGCATCTGGCTTGGTGCTGGTCCAGAGCTCTGAGGAGTGCCAGACTGGCATTGAGGATATGGGTAAGGATTAGTGAGGAGAGCAGCATGGACAAGGGCATAGCCCCAAAAAGAAGGGGGCGTGGAGGCATGACTGAGGAGGCAGCGGGCCGTCTTGGTGATCTCACGAATGCGACTCTCAGCAACACCATTCTGCTGAGGGGAGTGGGGAAGGGTATGAGTCTGCTTGATGCCATGGGTTGAGTAGTAGGAAGAGAGGGTGCGGTTGAGAAACTCACCACCACCGTCGGAATGGAGGCGGAGGATGGGGTGACAAAAGTGGACACGGCACTGCTTGGCCCAGGTAACGATGAGAGCAGGGCCTCAACCTTCGTGTGGAGAAGGAACACCAAGGAGTACCTGCTGTGGTCGTCGACTAGGACAAGCATGTACCAGTGCCCTTGGGGGAAGGGGAAGGGTTAGGGCCCCAGAGGTCCATGTGGACGAGGTCAAGGGGGGCAGCAGAAAAGGAAGGATGACAGAGGTGAGGCTATTGTTTGAGCTTTCCATGAATGCATGTGGCGCATGGGGGAGCGGAAGAGGACGGGAGGGGAGGAAGCGTGGGGGAAGACCGTCAAGCAAGCGGGAGGAGACGGCTTTACGAAGTGACGGAAAGTTCATATGACCAAGGCGATGGTGGATGAGAACAGCGGGGTGGGACAGTGCGCGACAAGAGCATGGAGAGGAGGTGGAGTTGGAGGAAGTTAGCTCTAGAGGAAGGGGAGGGGGGAGAGTGGAGGTGCCTGCACGAGTGGTCACGTTGGCATGAGGAGGGGCGGGATGTGCTGAGGATGTACTAGCGAGAGCGAGGGCAAAGTGGGAGGCGATGAAGGAGGCGGCGAGTGGGGCCGTGGAGGAGGACATTGTAGGTGGCAGAGGCGAGGAAGAGGGTAGTGATGTCAGCCTATTGGAGTTCACGGATGGAGAGCAGGTTATGACGAATGGAGGGAATGTGGAGACCAGTGACCACTCTGGAGGGGAAGGGGGGGCAGGGAGGGTGGAGAGATGAGTGCAAAGGACGGAGAAGCTGGAATCAGCACCATGAACGTTGGTGGAGAAAGGGAAGGAGGTGAGGGTGCCAGCGTCCTTGAGGGCAGTTTCCGTGGCCACCACTATCGAGAACAAAGTCAATCATGAGCGAGGAGGGAGCTGAAGACACGGGGTACTGGAAATCACTGGCATTAAAAACAGAGGGATACATGGAAGTGGAAGCAGGGGAAGAACGCATGAGCTCGCCTAGAAAGCTGGAGTGGGAGGCGGGAGCACTAGGGAAAGGAGAGCCCCAGAGGGAAAGCCAGGAGGACCTGTTGTGGCTGTGGCAGCCATGGCGGCGGTGCTAAAGCCAAGCTGCTACTGCTGCCATGCAGATGCTGCGGCTGCGACTGCGGCTGCAGCCTGACCACCAGAGCCCCACTGCTGCTGCTGCTGCTAGAAGCGGCAAAACTGCTACAACTTATGGGGTCAGGGACAGAGGAGGAGGAGGAGGAGAGCTCAAGATGAGAGGGAGGAAAGACGGAAGAGTTTTAACATCCTGGAGAGAGAGGCGGGGATCCATGGCACACCAGCGTGGGGGTGTGCCAGTGTTGCCGCGCTCGAACCAAGCGTCATCATACGCCTTGAAGCAGGTCGTTGGGGGATGGTTGGTTTGGGTGCGGCGCTCACCCGCCCTAGGACCAAAACGGCGAAGATAGGAACATGGGAGGAGAGTGCCAGGGCAGCCACCACGGCTACCAGATGAGCCACCACTGCCTCCACCACCACCACTGCTGCCACCCTCGACCCCGCCACCACCGCCGCCGGCTCCGTTGCCCCCACAACCGCCACCTCCACCCCCTCCCTAAGGGTTGGTGCGGCCGCCACGTGGGCGTTCGCCACGGCGCAGCTGTGTGACTGTAAGCTGGAGGTTTTGGGACTCGGTGGAGTTCAGGCCGGAGGGGGAGGTTAAGAGAAGGCAGGCCTCAATGTTAATGATCCACTGGACCACAGTGTCGAGGAGGCACGGGGCTGAGCCTCAGTGGAAGGCGATGATGCACACTTCATACTGAGGGGAGAGGCCTTCAAGGAGACGGTAGATCTGGAGGTTGGAGGAGAGAGTAGTCTGGCGAGCCTCTAGGCGGGAAGCAAGGTCCAGGAGACGGCTGGTGTAGTCAATGGCGCCAGCACTATTTTTGATCATGATGCTGAAGTATTCCTTGAAGAGCGTCCGACAGCGTCGAAGTCGGTGCGTTCGAACATTTCCTCAAGCTCGAGCCCGATCTGGCGGGAGCCGATGCAATGTGCCTGAAAGTTGCGCATGAGCGCAAACGGGATGGCAAGGAGAAGGGCACTAGTAGCACAGCTGTCTGCCTCGAGCCAAGCGCAACGACGCTGAGCAAATCGCGCAGAGTCAGCGGCATAAGCGGCGGTGCAGCGGCATGCTAGGTGCGGAGGGTGGCCAACCGCTCGTGCTCCTCCAAAGCGATCAGGTAATCAGTATGGAACACGAGGAAGTCACGACGCTGAGTAACGAAGAGCTGCTCAGCTTCAGCGGTGGCAG